TCTTCGCTGAGGCCATCTTCCAGCCCACCGCGGTGCCTGAAGCTCTGCACAAGACTTTTGGCCAGCGGAGAAATTAAAATGGTCGTGCCGAACTGAGTCTGGTTCTCTCAAGGTTTTTTTTCTTCACTCCTATCTGGTGAAGTTTTTTTTCCCTCTCCGCTGTCGCCACTGGCTCGCATGGTTCAGGATTGGTTGAGCTACGCATCGATGAATTTGCTCTTCAGTGTTTGAACTCTCAGTAATGATTAAATCACACTGATCTGAGCTAAACTGATCTGAACTGAACTTAAACACTAAAAACTGAACTACACTGTTCCAGTTACTATGACCATTTATGTAAAGCTGCTTTGACACAATCTACATTGTAAAAGCGCTATACAAATAAAGCTGAATTGAATTGAATATTCCCAGTCTAATATGGAATACTGAAATCCACTGCAATAGTTAACATATTGCTGAGTCCCCTCTCTCTGTTCTGGCCTTTACTTTTTCCAAATTACATCAGACTGTCTTTGTATTTATAACACTAACATATTATCTCTAATTGCTTGTTGTATTTCTCATTTGTAAGTAACATTAGATAAAAGCATCTGCTTAAAAAAATAATGAAAATTACCCCATAATTCACTCACCCTCAGGCCATCCTCTGTATATTTTTTCTCTTAGACGAACACAGTCTGAGTAGTTTTAATTTTATCCAGGCTCTACCACACAGTACAACAGTGTTTGATGGTGGCTTTTATTTTGAAGCTTTTAAATGTGCATAAATCCATAATCAACCAACGTCAGGGGGTTAACAATACATTATAAGGTAATTTTCGGGTTAACAACTACTTCAAACAAACTTAAATGATAAAAAATAATAACATGAACAATTCAGTCCCTTTTTAAATGAGCAGATTTAACAAAAATGTTCAGCGTGTCTAACCAGGAAGAAAAAAAATGGGCAGGATGAAAAATGCAAGACAGAGATAATGCAGCACTAGCCCGAAATAGCAAGAGACGGTTAATAAACTGACCTACAACTCTAACACATGTGCCCTAGACCAGCGGGCTGTCCTTACTGCTGAACTCTGCAGGTGCGAGTACAACTAAACTAGGTCAGTACCTCAAGCCATTAGCAACCACAAGATTCATTCTTGAACAGTAAACCATTTTTTCTGTGCGCATCAATAACTGTAAACAGTTGTGTCTGAGAGATATTGCAGAGTTTTCTTGAATTTGAAAGAAAGCCTCAATAGGAGTTTCTTTTCTATGCAAATCCCAAACAATCTCAAATTGAGGCTCTTTGAGAAGTAACAAATTATGCCTCTGTGGTGAGACAAAATAAGGTCTACTGATTATATTTCTTCTCACACACAGCACACAATTTACCCGTGGTTCAGGAGTTAGCTTGACACTTTAGGTTAGTGGGATCCAGTGCTCTTTACTATACAAACAAATGAGGTGCTCGGTCCGACAGCCTGAACTGCATTTACGACTGGCATGTAGGCAATTTTAGATCTACTGCAAACTCACAATTCATGCAACTGGCTGCTTGTCCACTTGATTTATCACCTTAATATCCAGAGATGCCTAATATTAGACTGTCTTTACAGTAGTGGTGTAAAGGTACACATATTCGTACCATACATCTTTCAAATGGGTCTTTCGGTTCAGTGCTCTTAAAGGGTTTTCATATTGGGTAGTTCCCCGAGAACTAATTTGCCCATGGATCATTTTCCTGATTGCATTGCTACTGATGGTGCGAACGCCAGAATGTAGATGGAATGTAGACATAAAAGGTATGTGGATGAAATGGAGAACTAAAACACCAGACAACTTGTAGTGCCACATATCATGTAGGCTAAGAAATGAACACAATGCAGTGGACAATGGCTTGAAGTAAATGGTATTAACGTTAGCTTTCTGTATGCTTATTCATTGTAACTCTTTAACATTTTGTGCTGGTGTTTTGTATGGAATAAATTCATCCAGTCAGTGTTTACTCGTATCACTGTAGTTCCTATTGTGCAGGGTTATACATTTGTATACCTCTGAAATAGCTATGATCTAATTTAGTTCCTCTAAAAGCCTTGCTAACTAAAACCTTTCCCAACCAAAAAGCAGGTATTTTCATCATTAGTTCTAGAAACTGTGAGAAAAGTTCATCTGGTCTTAACTTTTACATAGTACCACCAAACAAACTTTTGTTTTAATGCCTTAAATATTAAACTTTTTAGTTTTATCGTCATTTTAACCAATTTACTTTATTATGCACTAATATCAATCTTTTATGCTGCTTCATTTTGATGTAGAAATAAAACTTTACCAAACATTTTATATCCAATAAATCACAAGAAGCTTTGTTTTGCTCACTTTGATAAAAAAAACTACAAGTTCTCTCTCAAGTTCTGGTGATTTTATCAGGAAGATTAAATAATAAATTCCATTTTAACACATTTGACACAGCAGATTACTCTGGGCAATTTAATGAACACGATCATTCATCGTGTGCTAGAAATAAGCTTCAGAAATATGTTGGTTAACTTGTAGACATAATTCAATGTAGCCTTACAATTACAGTTAAACTTAGAACTATTAGCCCCCCTGTTTATTTTTTCCCCAATTTCTGTTTATTCTGCATATTTTTAAACATAATAGTTTTAATAACTCATTTCTACTAACTGATTTATTTGATCTTTGCCATGATGACAGCAAAAAATATTTGACTAGATATTTTTAAAAACATTTCGATTTCCTTAATCTGTTATTTCATTTGGGGAAAAAAAACAATATATTTATAATACATTTATAATATTTTGGAGCAATAACTCAAATAAATCATTGACTTTAGCTAACTTCATTTGTTTCAAAAACATTGATTTTTTTTTTTTTTTTTTTTTTTTACAATTTAAAATGGCATCTTTGGATATCTTTTTTGCTGGCGATACTGTTGTCTTTAAAAAAAGTAAATAAAAAATCTTACACATACCTCAGGAACAGTATAACAGAAGATTTTGATGGCTTTAAAACCTTGACTTTTCCAAACCACGGTATACCTTGAAAACTAAAATTAATGATGACTAAAAGGGATAGTACACCCAAAAATGAAAATTTACTCACTATTTTCGTTTCCATGAGTAGTTTCAAAACTTTTATGAGTTACTTTCTTTTGCAGAACAGAGAGCTGTAAACACTGCAAACAGCATGAATGCCAATGTTCCAGGTTTCCAGCATTCTTCAAAATATCTGCTTTTGTGTTTAGCAGAAATAAAAAAAGGAAGGCAAATAGTTTTTAAAAAATGAGGAGTGAATAAATAATGACAGAATTGTCATTTTCAGGTGACCTATTCTTTAGTTATTGTTTATGTATTTTTAAATAATACAATAAATCCTCCATGAAAGTAAATAATTACAGCTACTGGGAAAATTACTATAGTTGTAGGTCTGTCACAATAATCAGTATATCGACCTATCGCACAACAAATGGACATGATCTCAGTCATTTTTGGTGAAGCAGTATATATATCGCCCATACATAAAAAAATAAAATAAAAATACAACAATTCTAGCAACATTTTGGCTGATTTTGCAACATCCCTACCTCTAATGGAGATGTCAGTAAGGTTAAATAAACACTAAAGTATTTACTATAAATTACTATAGTATATATATAGTAGCAGATAGCAGCCCAACTTCTTACCTTACATTTTTTTGTTACCATTTATTATTTTTTTATTTAGGATATGCGTTTTCACTTTCTGACTCCACTGCCTCATTATCAAATTGTTTAAATAACTATAATTAAATGAAATATTCTTAAGAATAAAATATGATGTGTTCTTTGGAAGAATGTACTTGAATCGTGATCATATTATATTATATTATATTATATTATATTATATTATATTATATTATCATCTTGGCATTATATAAAGAATGGCATAAAATGGTCTTAAAATGACAATAATATAGTTTATAGCAATTATCAATTTATCGTACAAAAAAACATGGATATTGTGACCGGCCTATATATTTGACCCAAAAAAATAATTTTGTTTAGATGTGAATGTGCAATTTACATGTTTTGCTATTTTTAATACTGGTTATCTAATTGAATAGTTAACTGCAATGAAGGACTATAAAATATACTCTATTTTGCTTTCCTCCTGTGAAGCAGGTATTCTACCATACTTTTCTAGTCCGCTACTTTAGGTACTGTTCAAAATATTCAAGTATCTCCCTCAGACATTAACTTTAACTAGAGTAAAGAAAGAGTAACATCTCAGGTACATCTTCTTCCAACGGTATTTCAGATTTCCACACACAAACTGTTGTGCTTCAGACTACCGCACATCAGTCTGTTCAATTAATTATTTACAGTTGACTACCAGGTTGTGGCAGCTTTAAACTTCCTGTGTGATGCCCAATAAACCATGTCAAGACAAGAAGCTATGTTTTGAGACAAAGAATATTACACCCAAGATGCCCAAAAATGTTGTCAAGCATGACAGCTCTCTAGATTTCTGAGACAAAATCAATCAAAGTCACAAAAAAAAAAAAAAAAAAGTCTAGACAGGCTAGATTCTGAAACAGCCAATCACACCCATGGTACCCCAAAAAAAATGTTGTCTAGGTAGGCAGCACAGTCATTCATTCAGGCTACTATGCAAATAAGTTTGAAAAAGCATGAATGATTAAAATACTTTAATATGTACTCAATGCAGCTATCAAACTGAGTCAATTAAAAAAAGCCTAACGCATTCCTCATAACTTAACGGAGTGCAGAATAGCTGTTACACTAAATAAAACAACAAGGAAGAGTCATTTTAAACAGGTTAAAATCTGCCATTAGAAAAAACTGTTCACTATAAACACGTTTTTCCATCTAAAAGCAGTATATAACAGTTTAGACAGCTGCTTATTTCTTGCAAACAAATTAACAGCACGTTAACGTTAATAAGCCAAAGATTCTCGAGCTCAGAAACTTAGGCATATAAGAGTAGAGAAACACTTACCAAGAGACCAAAGGAAGAAATACTGGGTTACACTGTATCCGTTTTGACACTTTATGGAGAGCATAGTAAGAAGAAGCGCGGTTGGCAGCTCTGTGTATCCTATGTGTGCTGTAAAAGCGGAGTGTTTGCACTGCTTCTGTATCCACACTCTCTACTGTGCGAGCTGATCATCACACAGCTTTGTTTTGCGAAGACATTTCCTGTTGAACGCGCGTCTCGGCTGCGCCCTCTGGTGGCCGCGTACACGGGTATTACAACAAGGGGCAGTGCTTGTCGCTTGACATTAACATAAGCGCGATTAAAGGGCTTATTAAAGAGATAGTTCACCAAAAACGACACTTGTCATATTCAATTTATAATACAGGCATCTAAATAGTCTGTGGTTCTCTTTTGAAAGACTTTAAATTAGTAGTTTACAATAAGGTTGTATTAATAAACAAGACATTACAGTATTAATTCATGTTAGTTAACTTTAGTTTAGATCTTTATTGTTCATGTTAAAGTCACAGTGCATTAATTAAAGTTAACAAGCATGAATTTGATTTTAAAAACGCATTAGTGGGTAAAGGTAAAATAAATGCTGTACAACTGTTGCTCATCATAAATACATTAACTAACATTAACTAATGAATACATCTTGTAAAGTGTGACCAACATAGAATACAAAAATTTATTAAAACTCTGTGGAGAAATGAGACTTCTTCCCTCCATCTCTAAAAATAACAATAACACAGAGAAATATTTGACTTTTATGACATCAATTAAATACTTGTCAAATTTATTTTAATAAGTTGTAAAAGGCAAAAAGTCCAATTTCATTTTCCTTAAGGTTAGTCTCTTTATTTATCAGAGGTTGCCAGTCTTGCCACAGTGCAATGAACCACCAAATTAACCAGCATATGATTTCTACAGTGGATACCCTTCCAGCTACAACCCAGTACTGGGAAACACTCATACACTGCGGCCAACTTAGTTTATTAAATTCATCAATTGCATGTCTTTGGACTTTGGGAGAAACCGGAGCACTCGGAGGAAACCCACGCCAACAGAGGGAGAACATGCAAACTCTACACAGAAATGCCAACTGACCCAGCTAGAACTCAAACCAGCAACAGTGCTAACCACTGAGCAAACATGTCGCCAAGTCTGTCAAAAGCAGTCTTAAACTGCAGATTTTTTACACTTTCTGAGATATAGGCTATTTCTTTACTAGCATCAGTATATCAAAATTCATTTGAAGGATTTTAACCCATTGAATTTCTGTGTTTACATAATGCCACTGTTGTTGTTGTTTTATTAAAATATTGTTTTTTCCATTTACTGTACCCTATAAAGACAAGTCAGTCTTGCAAGTCAATGATCAGAAACCACATTAAATGTGATGCCATTTGTGCAATGTCACTTTTTAAAAGAAGATAAGGAATATCAATGCGGCACGGTGGCACAATGGTTGCTGGTTCGAGACCAGAGCTGGTCCAGTTCCCATTTTTGTGTTGAGTTTGCATGGGTTTCCTTCGGGTGCTCCAGTTTGGAGTGAATTAACTAAATAACTGTTCGTAGTGTATGATTGTGTTTGTGAAATAGTGTGTATGTTTTCCAGTACTGGGTTGTAGCTGGAAGGGTATCCGCTGAGTAAAACCTATATGCTGAAATAGTTGGTGGTTCATTTCGCTGTATAGACTAAGCCAGAAGGAAAATGAATGAATAAGGAATACCATTCATTCACACCAAACAATTTCCCTACATACAAAACAAAACAAGCTCTGATATCTACACCCACATCAAATTACAACCACATATGAAGGTGAAATACTAGCCTACATAGCTTTACACTGAAAGACAAAACAAAAGTCAAAATGTAGCCTACAAATTAAAAAGGGTTAGAATATGATGCTTTTTATGATGGTCTGAAGGACTTTTTTATCCTCTACCTGATTATTTTCAGCGTAAATTAAAGTGTCTTTCTAAAGCGAAACCTGTTAGCATAACAAGCTAAATTACGTCTCAAAACTGACAGGTGCATTAAACGTGCTTTAGTTTCGACTAATAAGAAATCATGACTGATACTAAAAATACTAAACAGTCTATTTAAAAACAAACAAAGTTATTAAGAAAAAGGCCAAATGTAAATTTTGTTTAGACGAATCTATCATAAAGCCATTAAAATAACTTGTTCTTCTTAATATTGTCATTTCTTGAAGCTCCGTGGGCGCTCTGTATCTGCGCCGAAAGCTCTGGAAGTGTAAACGCCATCAGTGCGCGCTGCTGATGCTGCCGATGGAGACGGAAGTTTCTGGAAAGTTCACTGAAACAACATATAAATGGGTCCCGCGTCCTAAAATAGCATATGCGCTCTGGATTATCTGCCCTTTCATGACTGACGCTTACACACACGGATTTGTTTGTCCATCTGATCTGAGCACATTGCTTGCCGTACCGAGCAGAGTCCGGGATATGGCTGTCGTGGGTTTTGATGTTGGGTTTCAAAACTGCTGTATTGCCGTGGTCAAGAGCGGAGGAATTGAGACAGTGTCCAATGAATTTACAGACAGATGCACGCCGTGAGTTGATGAAAGCTGTTTTTGCCTAATTTACAAACAGTAATCACTGCATGAAAAAATACACACAGCTTGTATGTATTCTCAGATTATACACTTTTGTATATTTATCAGTCATATTTTAGGACGGTTGGTCTAGTTGATAAGCTGGTAATACTTTTATATATGTAAACAAAAAGAAATGAAAAACTTACTGAAACTTTACATATACTCTAGTTTAATGAAGTGCATGATAAAGTAGCTGTTAAACAAATAGTTCCTCAAATCATACAGTTGTCCATGTCTCTAATGTGAACATGAGACTTTTTGGTGTATTGTCAGATTATATGGAGAAAAATAAATATAGGTTCTATGAAAAATAAGTGGTAGTCCAAGTAAGATATGCTTAGATTAAAGTTTTAAAAACAAACAACGCAGTGGCGCAGTAGTTGTTGCCTCACAGCAAGAAGGTCGCTGGTTCGAGCCTCGACTGTGTCAGTTGGCGTTTCTGTGGGGAGTTTGCATGTTCTCCCTGCGTTTGCGTGGGTTTTCCACCCGGTGCTCCGGTTTCCCCCACAGTCCAAAGACATGCGCTATAGGTGAATTGGGTAGGCTAAATTGTCCATAGTGTATGAATGTGAATGAGTGTGCAAGGATGTTTCCAAGTGATGGGTTTTGCAGCTGTAAGGGCACGGTTCATTTCCTGTGGCGACCCCGGATTTATAACGGGACTAAGCCGAACAGAAAATGAATAAAACAACACAAATACATTTATAATTCTTTCAAATTATCATTTATTAAATGTAAGGCTGTATTTTGAACTTTGTGTTTAAAGTATAAGCTACAATCAAAAGTGAAATGTATTTTCTTTTCCACAAAACATGTATAATACAGAACAAAAAATTTGTATAAATAATAATTGATATATCATAATACACAAATAATAAGAAAGCTGTAAATTCAGCTTAGACCCACATGAATAAATTGCTATTTTAGTGTATTTATATAGAACACATTATTCTAGATGTAAATAATATGTCCATTGTATTTTTGATCAAATATACAGTTTTGGGGACAAGCAGAAAGCACTTTTAATGTCAATGTTTCCAAACTTTTGAGAAGTACTGTATTTATAAAACAACTACATTATGACTGTTATGACGTGTATGACATTCCCATAATAAAATACACATAAGAGTATGTGATCATTTATATTTTAAATAATTGAAATTGTCTTCCTGACAAACACTGGCCAAGTATAAAGATATAGGAACACAAATAAGTGGTATTTATTTATTTATTTTTTACTTTAAATATGTCATCAAATGCTTTATTTAAAAAATAAATATTATACCATCTGTCTTTACAGACTTATATGAATAAACCGCATGTGTAATAGACCTTTTACAAATCATGGGATAAAATGAGACATCCATTATTATTTTTAGCTCAGAAAAATAAAACAATTTAAACAGTACACATTCTGATGTACAGAGAAAAATTAAAGCTGTATTAAACTGCTATTATTTTTCTTATGACACACTTGGACCCACACAATAAGTTTAAAATGCTGAACTTTCTTCTTTTAGATCTGTCATATCGTTTGGTTCAAAGAACAGGGCCATTGGCAATGCTGCAAAAAACCAGGTAAACATCCATGTTCTCGTTATTATTGTTATTCAGAATAAAGTGAAAGTGATCTAGCATGGTGTAAATACTTTATTTATTTCTTCTACTTGTTCTAGATGATAACCAATCCTTCAAGCACCGTCTTTCATTTTAAGAGACTACACAGCAGACTTTATCATGATAAAGTTGTGCAAGCCGAGAAAGCTAATTTACCCTATGATCTGGTACCACTAAATGATGGGAAGGTTGGAGTACAGGTAAACTCTATGTTTATGAGTCCCATAAGTAGTAAGGACCGATTGTCATTGATTATTTTGAGAAGAAACAGCAAAATGAAGATGTTTACTGTCTTTATTAGGTCATGTACCTCGACCAGGAGCACCACTTCAGCATTGAGCAGATCTCCGCTATGCTGTTGACCAAACTGAAAGACATTGCAGAGGCTAACCTGCAGAAGAAAGTGCTGGAGTGTGTCATCTCTGTACGTTTTTTTTTTTTTTTTTTTTTTGCAGCGGAGCCTTGCGGAGTGCAATCATTTATTTTCTTGATTTTTAATGGCTACCAGAGGCGTGTACTAGAAATAGAGGCGTTTGGTTCATTAGAAATTCTTCCAAAAGATATTTATAGTAGAAATTATGTGTTATAGCCATTTTAGATCTATTAGTAGGATATTTTTGAGAAATGACCTCTTTTTTTCCCCATATAGCAGTACATTTTGCAGGATTTTTTAAATAAGGCTCTGTGATTTCCTCTCTGTGAAAATATGAACAAAATCACTGAATCGAGTTGTAAATATTAGCTGTATAACACAAAATGTGATCAAGTCTGACACATTTTGGATGAACACATCAAACATAGTGCTATACATCCAATCAGAATACAGATTACCATCGTCATTTGCAGGAGCAGACTTAGTAATTTGGGGGCCCTAGCACTGAATCTCAA